CCCGCCGTGAACCTGAATCATTCTTTTCTGTTAGGCTCCATGAAGCACCTGAAATTTGATTCATCAATATGTGATACTGTAATCAACAAATGGGGCTGGGGGAGGGTAATCCTCTCTCCCCAGTGAGTATGTAAAGATGAGTTTGAATTGTTATAAAGAAAAATGCTCATGAGTAGCCTGTGGCCCTACCTGTGTGCTCCAGCTTTCAGACATCACTCTGTTAGACATTTGGGGTGGGCGTGGTGTGATATATACAGTGGCTGCAGTGAGAAGCTATGTGCCTGAAACCTATACAGTGTTGTAAACTACTACCGTTAGCTCAGTAGAAAGAAAAATAAAGGACTCCTTTTCCCTAAAGGGAGTGTGTCTAGCTGGCATCCGGCAGTTCCTACTTGCTCCATTTAGCAGACGTCATTAGCAATCCCCCATGCCTCTCTGTCTCCATTGACAGCGCTGAAATAGAGACATTGCGTGCGACTGACAGATCTCCAGGGGTTAGAGTCTTCAGACAAAAGGGCCCAAAGTATATGGCTGACCTTTCTCAGTGTTATTCCCTTAGGTCTATCTTCTGTGTGTGGCAACTGGGGAACACAGAATTTAGTACCTTATTTTCAGAAGATTGCCATTAAAAAAACTCAGGCTTATTAGTAAGACTTGTTAATAAGTAAGTAAGAAGTTGTACTTTCCAGAGTGGGCTTGTGGGTGGGTAGGTGTGGATTGCAGGTTCTTTCTCATTGGAATATGTATCTGTACCTTAAGTTCAAGAACACACCTGTCTTTCAGGATTATTGGGACTAACCTTGAGCCCTGTAGAAGGGAACTGGTGATGAGCAGTCTTTCCTATACTATCCTAGGGAACATCCCTAAGCAAATTTGGAATAGCTGAGATGTGTGTCTGTCCTTCCCAGAGCCATTTCTGGTCCACAGTGCTCTCATATGGATCCAGCACCCCAAAAGTTCAGTGTGGTGAGAGATTCCCTGTGCTGCACATACAGCTATTTCCCAACTTTCCCCACTCTTCTCCACTTGACCCACCCCAAATCATATTCCTGTGATCCCTGTCTGAGCCAGAGGTTAATAGGAAAGCATTTCATTTGTGTTCCTTTATAGCGATATGGGAATGACTACATCGTGTATGCATTTTGAATAGATGAAATATCCATTAGAAATCGATGCTATATTTTTCTTTAGGCTGATGAGGGGGTGGGGGGGAGCTAACCAGAGTCACCACTCACAGGGAGGTCCCCTTTGCTTAGGAATCGGTTTACTTCCAAATGCAGTTTATGCTTCTCCGCTTCACCCCTCCCCCATCCTGTCTTTTGTCTCATCCACTTTGAATGCACATGTTTCTCCAAGCGCTGTTATTATTTTTTTTTTCCCATAGTTGAGTCCATGCTGATGCTAGTGGGCAGACTTGGAAGCAGGAAGATGACAATATATAATGAGCACAGGCTGTCTGTTTCGTGAATGTTTTAAAAGAACTGTGTTCATCTGTGCAGCTCCACTCCCAACTTATTAGCGAATAGCTGTGCCATGGTTACTGTTGTCTGCAAGGAGACGCTCCCTGAGTGGCCACGGGCCCCTGAGTCGTGGCCCTGAGTATGTACATTCTGCACACAAAACATGACTCTTCAGACTTGTTTTTAAGTGAAGGAATTTTCCCAGATGCCTGTTACATTTACTTGTAGGAAAAGTGGAAATGGGAGAAAAAGGATTAATGAGGCAAATGATATGGTAAAGAGGCCAAAGATGATAGCAAATGAGATCCTAAGAGGACATAAAAATAATAGAGCTCATTTAATTATTTAAACAAAAGATCAGTTTCACTCTAGGGAAGCTAAAGTGCCCAACCCCAAGTAAAGATTTAAAAAGATAAATGACAGCCCATTATAGACAATGAAAGACCCAGCTAAACAGAATGCATGTGACTCTTGGATTTTCATTTGCCCTAGTCTGTGTTCTGATCCCATGGTTTAAATAAAGTACATTAATTTCTCAAAATGATTTAATATTGACTAATGATGTTTCACCATTAAGATCCAGAAACTGACAATATTGATCATCTCAGAGAGAAATGTACCTGCTTATTTTTGTGCAAGTACATAAAACATATTTAAAAAAAGCTTTGGAAAGATCATGAGGAATTACTTGCTCTTACATTTTGGTAATACCTCTTTAAAATCATTTTATGAAATAGAAATCATTTCCTTATTGGTCTTTCTCCATTTTTCTGAAAGGTATAAGTTCATATAACTAAAAGGAGAAAGGTTCTTTTGTTTTAAGAATAAATATTGCATTATCTTGTAAAATATTAATTTACTTTTCTAAAATTCACATAAAGGTCATGTGCTTTATGTATACTTGCATCACAAAATGCATTTTCCTTATCCTGAGTCATCAATAATGTCAAAATTGACAATAAAGACTCAAAAGTAGACTAGTGTTACTTTGGTACTAGGAAGAATTGTTGGATGTTGATCATGTTCAAGAAATCATGGTCTGTGAATCAAGAGTTTGAAAATGGACTATAGACTTTGAGGAGAAGGACTTTGGTATATCTGCTGCCAAATAAAATCCGATGCATCTCTGCTACTTAACTTCTCTGTCACTGTTTTCTCTCTTAGGCAGGCATGTTATAGAAAGTTCTTCAAAGCACTGCTTTTCCCATTTTTAAGAAAGATTTATTTATACATACAGAACTGGGGTACAGGCCAGAGGTGCAGGGGTGGTGAGAGGCTTCACCAGAGACAGAGTGGGGAGCAGAACAGGTAGATCAGTGAAGCACACTGCTAAGGGGAGCAGCAGCGGGTCAGCAGAGGTCTGCTGTGCCATGTGGTCACCTTGAACTCATACTGAAGTGGCTTTAGCTTCTTAGTGCTGTGCTTTAACCCTCTGCGCCACCAGGGAGGGCCCTGCTTTTCCCATTTTTGAACATAACCTTGCAGGAGAAAAAAAATGGAGTCAACGAATCATCAACAGTTAATATTCAGATAGGTGGCGTTTGCTGACTTTTTTTTTTTTTTTTGCTACTTTAGGATAATTCATCCTTGGTTGATCTAGATTGACATGTAACCTGGTAGCTTCATGAAGCATTTTAGAAAGAATATGAGGTTTGGAGTCAGGAGTCTTAGTTTCAAATCCCAATCTTGACATTTTCTGGTCTTGGATATTTTACTTAATTTTTCTAAGTTTTCATTTCTTTCCCTATAAAATGATGTTAATAACTGACCTTTGTTATTACTAAAGAATCAAAGGTAGACGTGCCTTAAATAACAATAATTTGTAAACTGGTAAGAGCTGTATGTGAGTCTCATTAACATGTTAATGAGATTCATTTAGTACTGATTCTGAGATATGCTTATAGTAGCTGAGTAATACAATAATGATTTGTTCTTGTGTAATATTCTTCCTTCGCTCATGTTCTACTTCAGTTGATGAAAAAAAGTGGCACTGATCAGATTGGTTTTAGATCATATTGGACAAGCAGTGATGAACATTGTCAAGATAGAATTTCCACAGGTTTTGGTATTACTGCCTCTCAGACATTTGAGTGTCTGTTGCAAATATCTAAAAAAATAAGGCCTGTTTGCAAGAATTCTTTACAGGTTTATATAGCTTTTCTCCTTATTTCCTCTCTTCTTCCTCCCATTTTTCTTAATCTCTCAGGCAGGGGTATGACTTGTCACTAACATTATTTGTGTACCAGTGATAAAGGGTAAGAAATTAAAAAAAGAAAAAAAAAAAAAACAGTGACCCAAAAGAACTTCTGGTTATACTGTGACTACTGGTGGTACTTCTTAGACTTGATTTATGTTAGGTAAAATGATACTCACCGGTTTTTCTACCATCTTTTTAGGAAACTTGGATTTAACTGGTCAGAAGCAAGTATTCAAAGCAGAGAACAATCCCTGGGTTACCCCGATAGCTGACCAGTTCCAGCTTGGCGTGTCCCATGTTTTTGAATACATCCGTTCTGAAACATACAAATAGTAAGTAGACTGTAATTTTCTGAAATAGTAGACAGTGGGTTTATAGTATTTGTAATTATGCCTTTTTAAAAAACTGCCATATGACATTGTCATATTAGTAGTAGTTAACTCATAGCATTTCTAAACATTTTTTTAAATAAACCACATATAGCAATTGTCTCTGTTATTTATAGATTATTTTTATTTGACATTTCAAAGGAGTTTATACCAATTTTATTTGGAAAATTTTTAAAGATGTTAGTTGAATATTTATAGCACTAAGAAAATTCATCAGATAATTAAGATCAGAACATATTTTTTGTCCTTTGAATGCAAAGAATAACAGATGTTAGGAACAAAATTGTTAAGCAGTTTATTTATATAACCAGGAACCAATACTAGGAAAGCATTATTCTTTAGAAGCTTTTACTCTAGTGAGATGATAATCTCTCTTTGAGAAAAACAAAAGGCTGAAACCGAGGGAACTTCAACTAACTTAAAGCCACAGCTTCAAAATCCCCCAGGTCCTTGTTTGGGGTAAGGGTGAAGGTGTGAAGTCAGCCCTAAAGCCAGATCCTTCCCTCTTCTTCTTTCACCACTTGTCAGGACTGGAAGGAATTCCCTCATTCCCTCCAACCCGGCCCATTGTGACCACTTATGTCTTTTCCCCTCTCCTCTCACCACCAACTGGAAGTTGAAACAATCATTTGTCTTTTGTCCTGTCACCTCTAGCTTTAAGCAAATGAAATAAAGACAATTAGATCCCATAGGTTTAATCTGCTTTGGGGCCCATTACCAAAGTTTGAGAGGTTAGCATTCTGCTGTTAGGAAGGAGGGTTATTTCAGTTTCATTAGAGAGGAGTTTCCTTTCATGGTATCAGGAAAATGCCCCCACTCAACACTGCTCTCATATAGTCTGCGCTGGGGTCACGGGCAATGTTGCATTTCAGGGTCCAAGCCCCATCTGTGAGTGGCCAGCAGTGGGCTGTTGTAACCAGCTGATGGGATTCCAGAGACGAGAAGCTGAGAGCAGCAATGGCATTAAAGCTGAATAGACTGAGTTGTCAAAATGATGACATGTCCTCATTTTTGAAAGTAGCTTAGAGTATGGCTCCTATTAAGATACCCTGTGACATACACAATATTTCCTAAGAAAAAAGTGAGGGGCATATAAGGATGTGTGTGACTCTTTCATGAGCCACAGAGATATGTGCAATTATGTAGAAACAGAGTTTTTAAAATATGACTGTTCTGCTTTCTTGGAAATTAGTAAATTACGAAAATGTGTGAAAATATAATTGCAAGTTAGCAAGTATTGTTCATTTTATTCCGCTTAAACTGTTAATCATTAGTGTCATCGGTTTTAGATAAGGTTCTAATTTCTTAGTGAATGGGAAGCTATGTAGAGTAGGATATGTTTTTAGAAAACCACTGAGAAGAAATATACAGAAAAATATACAACCAAGATCACATTAATCTGAAATTAGGGTTCCTAATCTGTTTATTATTATGTAACCAAATTTTTAGGTTACCATTAGTAACTAATAAATAACAGGGAATTAGAATATTATATTGTACATAAAAATGCTTTCAATTTTAAATTCATTTTAAAAGTATAAATTGTTACAATTGGAAAGACATGGGAAAAAAATATAAATTGTGAGTTTATGGATTTTTGTTTTCCCTTAATCATTTTCAGGTGATTATGTAGTATTCAAAGCCGTTTCTCTCTATTTGAACATGGCTACAACTCTGGATGGGGAGTGTGTGTTGATTTATTTGGGGGTTGTTTGAGAAGGAAATATGTGACACAACACAGTGACATATTTGATGTGTATGTACATTCTTACCTCTATGACTGGCATCCTACCCTTGAGATCACAGTAATCTAAGCAATTTGCCTAGTAGCTAGTTAAATTGATACTAAAAAACTTCAGCATACAGGAGCCACTGTCCCTTTCTAGATATCCTAGTCAGTCCATACCATGTTGTCTGCTTTTAGAGGAGTCTCCATGAGTCGCTGCTGGGGGATGCACCTTGCCATGAGCTCCTGGAGGGTGGGGCACTGGGGAAGCCCCTTCCAGTTCTCCTCTCTTCTCTTTTGGAAGAAGACTATCAACCCTGTCGTGTATATCAGCTCCTCTGTCCTTCTTACATTCTCTAGTTAAATTAAATTAAAAATCCATTGCATGGATTTTTAAGTTTAAGGCCCTGTTTTATATGACTCACACTGATTTTTGTAGATGTAATTATTAATACATATGCTTTTTTAAAAACTAAGGTTTATTTTATTTGAATAGTAGACATTAATTTATCATCACATAAGTACAACTTCGTATAATTCTTTCTTAGAATCAGCCACTTCATAATTAGAGAACTTTCAGTATCCTTCCTGCCTCTCTGAAAAATATTATTCTAATTAGCAGGTATTTGGCTACTTTTTTCAAGTTGTACATGTGGTAATACTCAAGGAGGCAATTTATTACAGTCATATTTGTTTTATAAAGTGTGTTTCACACTCAATATCGTAGGGGTCGATCATCTGTTCTAATACCTAGTTTCTAATTGTTACATTTTCTGTTTTTATATAAGCCACATATACCCTCTCCAAGTTAAAAAAAAAATCCTATATACATAAATCTTTAGTCTGCCATGAAAGCATATTTTAGTTTTGTTTTGGCACTGAAAATACCAATGTGTGTCTCTCCTCTCTTTTTAACTTTAGTGTATTAACTTGTTACCTAATGAGAACAGCAAAGAATTCACCAGCATGTTTCATTTTCTTTCACATATGTAGTTGACTTTCACTGCGGCTTTCGTGTTCTCAGCACACCCTCAAAGGCCTTTTGAGTCTAGAGGAGCGACAGGCAGAGAAGATGGATTATCTGGTTTCTAAACACTAATGGACTCCAGGAGGAGACATGGCTGTTTGAAACAAAGCAGCAAAATCAGTGTTTAGGAAGAATTAAAATACTTAGGCTGGGGCCCTCCCTGGTGGCGCAGTGGGTTAAAGCACAGCACTGAGAATCTAAAGTCGCTTCCGCATGAGTTCGATTCCCGCCTGCCCCGGAGGTGACCACATGGCGTGGCAGACCTCTCCTGACCCGCCCGCTGCTCCCCTCAGCAGTGTACTTCGTCGATCTGCCTGTCCTGTTCCCCACTCTGTCTCTGGTGAAGCCTCTCACCGCTCCTGAGCCTCTGGCCTGTACCCCAGTTCTGTATGCACAAATAAATAAATCTTTAAAAAAAAAATACTTAGGCTTATGTTGATGAAAATAGGAACGTGTGCAATTCAACAGGGGGACATGTGGGTCGGTGAGTCTCGGGATGTTGAGGTACAGTTCTTCGGGAGTTCTCTTGGGTGTTCGTCATGTCCTCCTCCTCATCCCTTAGGTGGAGATTGCCTTTGTTCTTCTGTCATACTTTGGGCAGAGAGACTGCTTTGGCTGGTGACATTGCATTTGTATAAGTTAATCGTGTGTTCAAGTAAAATCATGTGCCCAACTCCGCCACTGAGGACTAACTCTATGTGTTAGCATCATCAGACATTGTTGAATTGTTCAGTCACCTTCCACTCTTCATATGGTGGTTTTTTCCTTGGGTGACCTCTTTTATTTCTGTGAAGCAGAATTATGATAGAATAGTCACCACTTGTTAAGTTTCCAGAGATAGATTTTTTTTTTCCCCCAGGAGTAGAAATCAGATTGGAGCCAGGATTCTTGACAAGATTCTTTGTGAAAGGGAGTAACTCACACTTTTCACATTTCCATCAAGGAAGGTAGATAGGAACTGCAAGCCATTTTAAAAACTGACAAGTTAACTCTTAACAAAAGAAGAGGTTTGACAAATGTTAGACTGAAAACGTGTTGGTGGAAAGAGGCATTTGGAAAACAGGCACCCTCGTGAAGGCTGCAATTTGCGGAACACAGCGGCCTAAAGCCTCATTTCCAGGGCTGCATAACTCACAGAACGCTCCCATCATCTCCCTGTCTTGTGCCTTTCTCTTCTCTCTAGGGAAAGCTGCCGCACTAACTGGCTTTCTGTTTTATTTTTTTCTGATCTTAAATGAAGACCACTACATTATTATTCATATTAATTAATAGAAACATGTTAACAAAACAGGATTTGGTGATTGGTAGACGATAATGAGGAAAAATGGGCAAATTCTCTTCTGTAAATCTAGCCAAGTGAATCCTTGTGTTTGATTTGTGAGAATGGATACTCTTATTTCCAGGTTATTGTTTCTGGATTTGTTTTACTTATAGCATTACTAAGTAAGTAATCGCATCTTTTTTTCTGCACTCTCTGCAAACCTCTTACAGCCTATAATGAACATAAATGGGCTTTGTTATGCAACTACTATACTTCTAATGGCTGCTGAGTCAGTGGCCTAGAAGACCCTTAAACAACAGCTGTGTCAGGTCTACTAGAGGCTAAAGACCCTCAGCCTAGTAGGCGATCCCATTCATTTTAAAACATCCCGTTATAGGAGGAAATTAGAGCTAACAAGAATTCTAAACCTTATTTTGTGATGAAGTATAAATTGATATACAGAACTAGCAGATGGTTTTGTAAATACTGCAGAAGGGTGTAGGGGAGAAGGTTAAATTGCCGAGACCTTTTTAGCAGTTAGTAAATTTTACATAGTGACAGTCAGTATGCAGAATGATGTAGACTTTTCTTTTTCATTACTGTATCTGAAATGTTCAGCCACAGGACAGCAGTATTTCCTGATAGTTGACATGAAAATGAAGAGCTGAGTTTCTTTTTCCTAAAGCTGTTAGCATAAAGTTTGTTCTTAATTTTCAAAGTTGACTACATATTGTGTACCTACTAATTTATATTTTCTTTGTAGATGCTACTCTTGTATGTTTTGGTCCCATTTTTTAGTTAATATTTATATTATCACATTTCTCATATCATACAAATTATAAATGAAGAACTTGACATCTCTGGACCCTCTTTGCATGTAGCTAGGTCACATTTACCTAATATTGCTAAGAAATACCAAGGAGAAAAGG